GTGCAGAGGCTGCTGTCCAAGGAAGAAGGACTCAAGAACCCCCACCTGGCCCCCGTGGGGCGCTTCCTATTCGGCCTCGCCAATGAAAAGAGGGCCAGGGAGCTGGGGACCACGTTTGGCTGCCCGGTGTCCACGGAGGTCAAGCAGGAGCTACTGGAATGCACAATAAGGTCCGCCGAGAACAGACCCTTCTCCTCGGTGACCGACACGAAGGAGATTTTGTACTGTCTCTACGAATCCCAAGAGGAGCTGCTTGTGAAGGAGGCCATGGCCCAGGTCACAGAAGTGTCCCTGCATTTGCAAGATACCTCGGACATGGTGCACGCAGCATTCTGCCTCAAGCATTGTGAAAACTTGCAGAAAATGTGGCTGCGGGTAGAAAAGGGGATGTTCCTGGAGAACGATGCTGCATGGGAATCAGAAGCTCAGGCTGACCGGTAAGGACCTGCCCTGTTCACTCTGTTAGTGCCCCGTCTTCAGCCTCATCCCCTGCTGCATTAGGAACAGGGCAGAGTGTCCTGCTCCCTGTGGCTTAGGGTCAGAATTTTCTTCTTGCCAGAATTTCTTCTGCCGGCTTGCCATTCAAGGTGGGGAGCACAATGCTCAGATTAAGGGTGGGGTCTTTGGAACTAGACCTTGTTTTGAGACTTGTCTCCTTTTTTCTTTAACTGAGCAATTTTTGCAAATGGTTCGACCTTATTTCAGTCCTCATGTTGGTTGTCAAGGTTGCCCATTTGTATGGGATTGTCCCATTTGGCATGACAGATGGAAAGGCATTAAAGATGTGAAGTCAGAGGTTGATTCAACAAGGTTTCTGAAAGCTGCCCCCCATCGGTGATCATGGGTACCTGCCTAACACAACTGACACAATGAAATTACCCCAGTCAGTTATGAGGCTTTTCTATTCTTGATGTAGGCTCCAGTAACATCAGCTCAGCTCATAAAGACTTTCCAAATACTATTTATCACCTGGTGGCTATGTGTAATCTTCCATGTTGAGGAATCCATGCTGAGGATCCTGGTTTCAGAAAATCGTGCTTGAGTGGGATTAGAACTCCAGTCTGCTATCTTATGAAGTCCTCCTGTCACGATCCAAGATCCCTGCTCATGGTCCTGTGTAGGGCCCTCCCCCACCACCACCACAGACTGACATTTATTTTATCAACTTGCCCCTCCTCAACCCTAGGTTGTCATCCGAAATCAGTATCTGAAATCCTCATGCATACGGAGCCAGAATAAAATGCCCTCCTGGCTTTCCTGTTGGAGGTGTCTGTTTTATACATTCCCTTAACTTTCCCTCACATTCCTTCCCCATTTAGCAGAGAGCCATGAACTCGAGTCACCCCAGGGGGCGTTAGGACCATGACAGCTGGGCATGAACATTTCTCCACCTCGCAGATCACCAGCAGTCCACAGACCTTATCCCTTTGTCCGTATCCTGATTTTGTTTCTTCTCTCATCCAAGTGTTTACACAGGCCCACATGCTGGTTTACCTAAATCTTTCTTCTGCAGGAGGGCATCAAAGAGCTGCTTTGAATGAAAATGAGATTGCACAAATAGCCTCCTCTCTCTATCCCATCCAAGATCCCAAGTCAAAATAGTCTCTATTTTTACTTTTTCTTTTTAACATTGGTTTGGTTAAAACCAGCAATTGTGCCAATGTTAAAATGACAGGTAATTAACCACAGTTGGGCTGCTTGGTTCTTGGAGCACCCCCATCTGAGAAGAAGGCAACGGATGTCTTTAGGTGTGATTATGGTCTTTCTGATCCGAAACGCAAACTGATGCTTTTCATGAACGTTCCTTTCAGGTGCTTTTTGCCACTTTCCTTTCTGTCCTGCTCATCACAGCAGGCCCATAACATTGCTGGTCTGTAATTCCTGGGATGCTTAAATCACAAGATGCCTTCAGTCAGGTCACCTCCTTCGGTAGCAGGGTGGTAAGGAGCCCGTGTCTACATAATGGCTTGATTATCTTACCTTGATAAGACCATTGCACTAATCCTACACAGCCTCAGATTTCTCTCCCCAAGAGAGCATATAGACCGTGCTCTTTGAAAATCACAAACTAGCTTTATAATGGCTTGTCCTCCTCATGTTGCTTCAAGTTCTACAATGAGGTCGTTAATTTTTTTTTTT